GTCTATTGTATAAATCATTTAATTTATTATTACCGGTAATTAATACATGCAATTTGTGTACAATTAGATGCTTAACATTATATTTTGTTTTAAAAAATATATAACAATACATAAGACTATAATATAATTATAAAACATATGTTAGAGAATGAGTTGAAGTGATGTTCTTGTGATTGAATGTTAACCACTGAGAAGAGTAGTGTCCACGCCTTCCAACTGCATCTTCTGGCGTACGGCTTGAATAGGTATACCCAAGCGAACCATCTTCTTGTACTTCTCAACCCTCGGGTCCAACACTTCCAACACTTGCGGTTCTTTCTCTTCTGTTTCTTCTTCATTGTGCGATTCATCTGTGGTCTCATTCTTTGTCTCATTAGTTGTCTCACTCTTAGTCTCTTCTTCGGTGCCGTTTATATCAGTCTTTGCGGTCATTACTTGTGCTGTGGTCTGCAATATATGATTGCTTTGTTGGTTGTCTTGAGTGGAGTGACCACTGGTGTGATCACTGGTGTGGACAGTAGTGTTGGGAAGGGATGAGAGGCCAGGGATTGAGTTGAGTTTCATCTCAAGAATGGCCAGATTTGCGTTACATCTGAGGATCTGTTGATTGAGATCATAAAGTCTTGAGTCGACGGTTGCCGTCAATTCATTCAAGTGATGGACAATCGATATAATGAAGTGATTGACAAAAGTGACCAAACGATTGCTCTTCAGTGGAACCGCTTTCTCCAAAGACACCTGTTTTTGAGACAATTCTTTCAAATCTGCAGACATTATGGCATCGATTCCGACGACAATCGCTAACAAAATCAATTCAATTCAAACACAACTCATTTAAAAGGCGTTTATAATAATAATGCAATTGTTTTTGATGTCAATAAAAATATTATTGTCACAAAATATGTCAATATTTGTGCATTCATTCAGAGATTGAGTCATTTGAAGAGTAATGACGTCAACACTATTGCATCCCTTTTAGGTATAAAGCATTGGAAATGCATTGCAAAGTGAGTGCACTTCACGTCCACTCAAACACATCATTACTGAATTGTATAGACTCTACGATTTCATCATAACTTTCATTGCTTTTTATAACTTACCGATCATTTGGTACTTTATATTCACACGTATTGGCAGTAATAGTAATACGATCTATACTTATAAAAGGGTCGATTGAGTTGTGGACCCAATAGTATAGTTAAGCCCTTATAAAGCGGTTGTATTGGCGCTCAAATGACAACACATTTGCGCTTTTGTGTCGTTTTTGTGATTGAATTGGATTTGAATTAAACTTTTGATTTGATTTAACACTGAATTGAATCGATATCTGGAGGAATGGCCGTCACTTACCCTCAGCTAAGCCACGGGGCTCTGCAGCAGATTCTGGCCGATCAGAAGGTCAATCGACCCATTCTGCAGATCATTGTCTACAAACAGATGTCACAATCGGATCAATTGAAGTATAGGTTTCAGATGAGTGATGGCGTGGAAACGTGCAGTAATTTCGTGATCATTCTTCCGGAACTGATCCAAAGAATATCGAAGGGAGAGTTCGAGAAGTTCACTGTCGTTGAACTCAAGGCATACACTTGTACTGTGAATCCAGGAATTGGAAGAGAGGTTTGTGTCTTATGAGGGCTAACATTAAGAATCCTATGACCTATGAGTCTTATTTACCACTTATTGTCTCAATGATTATCTTATTATTTGACAGATAATAGTAGTGAGCGATATGTCTGTCGTGATGTCGGGCGCGAAGATTGGCAAACGTCTGGACAAACAGGAGTCGAACGGAGGCTTTCTGAGCAATGCTGGCAACACTTCCCTTAATGGAAAGCCGAGAGCCGAGCCGTCGAAGACAGCGTCTCCGATGGCGGCGGCGAAGAGTGGAGTGAGTGGTCCGCAGAGCGTGTGTCCCATCTCTGCCAT